TCTAACTCTGGAGTTCCACTTTCTAATTCTCTGTGGATTCTTTCCTCATTAAAGAAAAAAAGTTTCCCCAATTAACACAGTAGTATTTGCTGTTGTTCAGTTGCTCAGTCAGGTCCGACTCTGCAACCCCACGGACTGCAACATGCCAGGCCTCCCTGCCCCGCACCATTTTCGGAAGTTTGCCTAAGTTCATGTCCATTGCACTGGTGATGCCAGCCAGCCATCTTATCCTCTGACGCCCTCTTCTCCTTCTGCCCTCAATCTTGCCCAGCATCAGGGACTTTACTATTTACCAGATTTCAATTATTCAGTACTGATGGCTGAGTGAGAGACCCAAGCCATGTCTCTCCCCAAAATGCCAAACAAAATGTCAGACTACTTCTTGCTCTCATGGTCTCTAATCAAGGAGCAAAAGCATGTGGCTCGGGATTATAAAAATAAAACAGGAGGGTCTATAAAAATAATTTTTAAAATCCAGCCAAACAAAAACGCTGAGCTTTTCAGAACAGATTCAGCCCAGAAACTCACACACAGAGTAGAATAGGGATTCTAAAGTATAGGTACTCAGTCCACAGCACCAGAGATTCTTCTGCAAGAGCAAAAAACAGGCAAGACCACATGTGTGCAGAGGAGGGACTTCAATCATCCAGAGTACACAGTACTGAGCTGGCACTCATTATAGAGGTGATATGTACCTTTCAGTTCAGATTCCAGAGTGAAGTTTCCTGTTACTTGAAAAGCAAAAAAGAAAACACATATTTCTGGGCCACGGGGACAGTGCTAAAACCTGTCCCAAGGGCTCTGCCAGACTCTATCTGCATCAGGCTGAGGGAGAGACGTCCTGTGAGTCTTAATGCGGAGCTTGAGTGAACTGGCACAGCCAATCCTAAGAGCTGGAGAAGGAACTTTCTGGAAACACAACTGTGGACCAGGGGCCTCTCAGCTTCTCCTTTCTCCTTCTCCTTTTTCCACCTCTCCCCAACTCCTGCTCTCAAACAACCGCCTCACTAGTTGTGCAGGAGAGCCAGTTACATGTTTCTCCCCATCTTCAGATGGATCATTCAAACTCAAATCTCAAACATTCTTCTTCACCTCTTCCCACACAACCCAAAGGATTTGTAGTCAAGGAAACCAAAGAATAGTTTCATCAATAAATCAATTTATTTAAAAGAATATGTTACAATTAATTACACTAAGTGACATTACCAAACAATTTTAGAGTGGTTAGCTCTAGAACAAGGAATGAAAGAAACACTGTTAGCCATTATGTGTCTGTGTATTTTCTCTTCACATTTCCTAAATCACAAATAAAAAATACAAGATACTGCAGTGAAAATACAATTAGAGTTTCTCTCAAATAAATTAAAAGTGTGCATGGTTTGGGTAAAACTGAAGCCCAGCTCACTGGCTTACAAAGGGGGCGTGATATAAAACTGGTGTCCAAGTTTAGCAGTTGGCCAGTGCCTCCACCCACATCACTCCCCTCTTCAGTTCTGTTCCTCCCCAGAACCCTCAGCTTCCCACACATCCTAGATTACTGCTGAGGAGTGAGCTGACGCCACTGTGTAAATGAGTGAGGCCTGGTATGATGTGCTCAGCTTTAGGGGAAGAGGAAGGCAGGAGGTGAAACCGGAAGGTGGGGGACTAAAGACGCACACCCACCACCTCTCCTCTCTGAGTATTCAACCACATCACCCTCCCAAAGGGAAGCTAATGTGACACAGTGGACCTGGAAGGAACCTAGCGGGTATGCTGGGGCCCAATAGACCAAATGGTTTCTACTGCTGAATCAATCCAGAGAACACCAAGGAGAGACGGGAGGGCACAGTTGTCCCTCTAGGTTTTGAGACTTCGGGTCACCCAGGATGCCATCCCCTTTAAGAAAACTGCCTTCCAGAGCCAGGTCCCCGAGTTGGCAAATTCTGAAATGAGAGACAGAGGTGTCACCTCCCATCAGAGCCCTATACTGCTGCTCCAAGCACTGGATTTGGAGGTGCAAGAAGGAGTGACCCAAAGCTACTGGCCTGGGCAAAGGATGAAACCAGATGGGCCAGGTATGGGGATGCCGAACATTTACCTAATTCCTCCCTGAGAGCTGTCCAGGCCTAGGAGCTGCCCCGAGCGCGCACCTGAGCTAAGCTTAGACCTAGAGCAAGGGGAGGGGAGAAAAATGGAGAATAAAATTAAACTATAAAGAGCAGAAAACCCAAAGCATGGGCCAAGGGAAACTTCCTACAGAGATCAGTTTCTCAGGGCCTGTATTTTCTCCTGACCCATAGAAACTCTGAGCTTTGATCAAAGAGGACAGGAACTCTCTGTGGGGGTGAAAGGAGACACCAGGGTGAGCCTGCTGGCTTTGCTGTGGGCAGAGCAGGGAGCAGGGGGACCTCTCCAGTCCCCGGAGACAAACTGTAAAAAAATGACTGAGGAGAAGCCTCCTTGAGCAGAACCCAGGACTGAGAAAGATAGCAGGGATTCAAAAAAGGAAGTGCAGAGTAAGAGGGAAAGGGTATCACATGAACACTGCTTCATGCAAAGAAGAGCTTGACCCTAGGAGCTGCACAGCCCCAGCGACCTCTGCCTCCATCACAGGACACCTGCTGTGAGTGGAGAGAAAGCCTTCCTCTGGGCCTTCCCTCCTTCCCCATCTCCCCAAGCTGGGGCTTTGTTACTGGAACAGCCTCAAGTAGGGGCTGGCCCTCAACATATTCTCCCAACAGGCTAACCATCCAATGGGCCCCACCCAATCTCCAAGTGTCAAGTGAGTGCCAGGTCAGGGCAGGAGGGAGGGAGCAACGTCTACACACGCTAAGAGCACCCCCGCTGCTCTCACATCTGGAGGGCAGCCTTTGGGCTTCCCGTGGACTCCAGGATTTGTTCATTCCTCTCCCACTCTGACAGAATAGGAGCAAACTACTATTTTTAAAGTGTGAACAGAGCTGGGGCCAAAAATCTCTTCAGCTCCTTGGAGTGGGCAATCAACATACCTTCTTCCCATGGTCCTCTGGCTCATTATTAAATTCCTTTATGCCAGAAGAAGTTAATTCTGTCCCAAAGCCTCCAAAGCAGGGCTCGCTCTCTGCGACTTTAAACACAGCTTCCTTACAGTTTGCACTCTGTGATCCCGCCTGGTTTGGAGAAGGTGAGGAAAGACAGGATGTCCTACCTGATACCACACCCCCCGGGGCAAGTGCCTGCCAGGGTAACAGAGTGAGAGAGAGAGTAAAGCGCCTCACGACCATCGGCAGAAACAAATTACAGAAAAAGAAACTTCAAACCACCCCAACACTGCTCGGTGACTACAACCCACTAGGGTTGCCTCCCAGCTAGACAAAGCAGAAGATGCCACTCTGTGAAGGCTTTTGCTCAGAAGGCAGAGAAGGAAAAAAGTAAGAGAGGCTCAAAGATGTGTTTCAGATGCATCAGAGCCTGACTAAGAGCTCTCAACGCCATCTCTTTGGAGCCTGGGGGTTGAGAATGTCGCTCCTGCTGCTCCACATCAGGAGGGCAGCCTCTGAGAGAGCAACATTCTCAACCCCCAGTCAGCCCTGGCCCCAGACCCAGGGATACAGTTCTTAGGTCACAAAAGGTCTAACTGTGAGGTCAGATGAGGCGCTCTTTTAAGGGGCAAAAATATTTTCCTTCAGTATCCTTTTAATTAAAAGTTGAGATCCAACCCAAATCAACCATATTCCTACTGTCCCTTCCTGGGTCCTCAGCTGGCTTAGACAGGTTATGGTTTTGCTTGGCTCAGATCACTGACCATTCCAAGTGTCCCCAAGGCCTTGGGGGATATGGTCAGGTCCTTCCCCAACATGGTTGTTTAAGGAAGTCACAGAGAACCTAATAGTTACAGTGTTACTGGTCGGGAAGACAGTAGGAAGAAGCTTAGTACATAGTGCCTTTCTTCTTTCCTGCCCTACCTAAGTCCAATCTTTGTGCCTAAAGGTATCAGCTTTGACTCTGGTCCCGAGTATGATCCCTGCTTTACGAACAGCAGAGAAAAGGGCAGTCGTGACCACCAAGCATTTCAGGGGTCTGTGGCATCAACCTCCTGAGCCACCCACCCTTCATTCTAGGCCTGCTGAGGGAAAGCATACAGGGGGCCCTTGGGAAGCAGGAAGATGTGGAATGTGGCTAAAAGCCATGAGTGGAAGAGACAGAAATGGACCAGGAACGTTGTCTTGGAATCAAGAGAGACCACACCAAATCTTCAGACTCTCCCTGCAGATCTGCAGCCCCACTGCCCTTGAAAAACACACTTCTTTCTCCTCCCCAGCAGTCTTTTGAAGATAAAGAAATTATGCTCCTTGCTCCTCAGACTCTATGGCAACCCATGATCCAAAATCTTCATTCAATACAAAAAGGGGGGAAAACCCAAGCAGGTTGTAAACTTTTCGAGTCCTTCATGAGGAGAGGTATTTTCCCTGTAAAATTTTTTTTTTCCTTTTTAAAGTTTGTTTCAAAATAAAGAGAGCAAGAGAGAAGTCATGAGTTCTAGTGAAAGGTGTGTAAAAACACAAGCTAAAAAAGGTACTGCCATCAATATGAAATTTAAAAAGAAATATATATATGTATATACGTGCAGCTAATTTGCGTATATATAATTTTTACATACATACATATATATGTCTGAACAGTGCAAATGGATGGAGTTCATAGTTCCAGTTCTAAAAATATAGTACAAGGAGAGTCTGTTGGTATGAGGCCCAGAGGAAAGGACAAAGATCCCTTTGGCGAATTGGTTGGGCTTATTTCTTTCTTTTCCTGTCTTAACTCAGCTGACTCCTGGTGCTGACCCATCTATTGTTCTCTACCAGCTCAATTACAGAGATACGAAACTCAGAGGAATTATTAATGACATTTAGTTTAGGGCTTTTGAGTATAATGACTTTTTTCCTTTTTCTCTTCTTCTGTGTTAATGGTTACTCTGTCTGACATGGGAGACGAAAAGGGGTAAGAGGATGAGGGTGAAGAGAAGGGAACAGGGTAACGAGAGGCTAGGTGGCCACATCCCTCTGCTGTGACCTCCCCATCTGGAAAATGTTCTGAAAGGAAAAAAAGACAAGAGTTACTGGGAAGCCTCAGGTGTCTTCATCTCCTCCCATCCAGAGACAACCCCTCACACAGAAAATGTACAACTGGATGACTCGACATGATGGGCCTCTTCACTGGACACAACTTTCCATCAAGAATCACAGCCTTTTAGAGCTGGAAGGGACCCAGGATATTACTCATCCGGCTCAGTCTTTCAGTCTCAGAGATAAGAAAAGATGAGAAAACTAAAATCCAGGGAGGCTGATTTGAACAGAATCACAGAAAGAAAAATGGCTAGGAGAGAATCCAGATCTGATCCCCAGGGCCCTGTGTTCTTCCTACAAAACCAAGAATATAAATGCTCATATTCCTTACTTTACTTTCTGAACCTCAAAAACATCTTCTTGAAGAGTAAGCAGCTAATTATTCAGAATCTTTTAAATTCTGTTCCATCACTAGCACGTACAGACAGCAGGAAAGCAGCAGCAAAAACCATACACATACATACACACACACACACACAAACACTTGGTTATCCTACACACTCTTTAACATCTCATCTAGTCAGAAGGACTAAAGCTAAGTACAACTGCCCTTCTGGATCAGGAACAACATGGAGGGTGACTGATAAAAATACAGGTAGAGGAGGGTCCATGAAGTCACAGGAGATGAACAGGCTGTGGCCAACAGCCACCCTCTTGACAAGGGAAACAGGGCTTTTTTTTTGCACAGTCTGGTTTAGCATCTAAGGCTAATGACCTCTCTGGAAGAGAATCCTGGCTCCCGTGGGATAACTGGTCTCTAATTAATATTCCTAGAAGAGAATCCTGGCTCATGTGGGATGACTAATCTCTAACTAATACTCCTAGAAGAGTATCCTGGCTCAGGTGGAATGACTGATCTCTAACTAATACTCCTAGAAGAGCATCCTGGCTCATGTGGGATGACTAGTCTCTAACTAATACTCCTAGAAGAGCATCCTTGCTCATGTGGGATGACCTGTCTCTAACACTCCTAGAAGACCATCCTGGTTCACGTGGGATGACCGGTCTCTAACTAATACTCCTAGAAGAGTGTCCTGGCTCACGCGGGATGACTAATCTCTAACTAATACTCCTAGAAGAGCATCCTTGCTCATGTGGGATGACCTGTCTCTAATACTCCTAGAAGAGCATCCTTGCTCATGTGGGATGACCTGTCTCTAATACTCTTAGAAGAGCATCCTGGCTCATGTGGGATGACCGGTCTCTAACTAATACTCCTAGAAGAGTGTCCTGGCTCACGCGGGATGACTAATCTCTAACTAATACTCCTAGAAGAGCATCCTTGCTCATGTGGGATGACCTGTCTCTAATACTCCTAGAAGAGCATCCTTGCTCATGTGGGATGACCTGTCTCTAATACTCTTAGAAGAGCATCCTGGCTCATGTGGGATGACCGGTCTCTAACTAATACTCCTAGAAGAGTATCCTGGTTCACGTGGGATGACTAGTCTCTAACTAATACTCCTAGAAGAGCATCCTTGCTCATATGGGATGACCTGTCTCTAATACTCCTAGAAGAGCATCCTGGCTCATGTGGGATGACCGGTCTCTAACTAATACTCCTAGAAGAGTGTCCTGGCTCACGCGGGATGACTAATCTCTAACTAATACTCCTAGAAGAGCATCCTGGCTCATGTGGAATGACTGATCTCTAACTAATACTCCTAGAAGAGTGTCCTGGCACACGTGGGATGACTAGTCTCTAACTAATACTCCTGTAAGAGCATCCTGGCTCATGTGGGATAACTGGTCTCTAACTAATATTCCTAGAAAGATGGAGGTGAGGGTCCCAGGTATTTGGATACAGGAGTGTACATTTTAAACAAACAAAGTTGAAAAGGTCAATTCAAGAGTGTTTAGAATTACCTCTTTTCTCCACTTGAGCTCGCAGAACACCCTCTCGAAGCATTCATGCATGTAATTAAACTGAAAAAAGACAAAGCAATGTTCATTGCCTTCTCCAGACCAGGCATCACAAAACCATGCCTTTGAACTCCTGCCCAGAGTCACCTTCCAAACTTGCTCAGCCTGAGAAAAACCTTAAGAGACTCCATAAAACCCAGGCCTGGCTCATCTACTATTCTCTGGCTCCTTCTAGTGGTAATTGTGAGTGAAGAGGAAAGTGAAACTGCTAATCCTACTTGGACTTAAAGGAAAGATAGAAGAACCTAGGCATCTAGGATTCAAACAGGTTCAGATCTCAAGACTGTTATCCCTACAGCTCCATTTACACATTTAGCTTTAGGAGAACTTTAAGCCCAATCTACTTTCCCCAAGCATGCTTCCCCAACCATCACTCACATATGGTGTGAAGATTTTAACCCATCGAGGCTTCTTCTCTCCTCGTGCATATTCAAAACAGAAGGCCATTCCTTCTTCATCTGTATCCCATCGCTGCATCTCATCCCATTCAAATGCTATTACCTGGTTCTGAACAATCAAGAGCATAAGTTTGAGAATGCTGGGGAGCTTAGGTAAGATGGTTCTGAACCAGGCAGCAGAAAAGAAATGTAGAGATGTCTATAGCATTTCATGGAAAAGACTGACAGAAGAATAAAGGTCAATGTAAACAGCCAGTGAAGGTGAGGAGCAGTGTGCACCCAGAGCCTATGTATCCCAGTCAAAACAGTTTTGATTTCACTGTCCCCCCCCAAGTAGGAACTAAAACATAGCAAGTGAGCATCAAAGCACTCCCGGTGTTCCTGGCCCTGCCCCCTGGCCAGGTGCCTGCTCAATGAACTCTCACCTCCAGCTGTCCTTCTTCAGTGCAGGCATGCAATTTAAAGTGCGTGATGCTGATGGCTGTGATAACATGCCCCTTCCTCCTGGAGTCGCAGGCACAGTGGGGGAAGATAATTTCATTGTAGCCCTCACAAGTCCTTAGCATGTTGAGGTACTAGGGGAAAAAAAAAAGGGAAAGAGAAACAGTGCTACCCTGGAACTATACCATCCTCAAGAGCTGCTGAGAAGGCACAAAAGAACCAAGAAAATCCTCACAACCTATAGACTGTGCCTCTGGGCTCACATCCAGACAGGAATGTGGGACAGGACTCCTGGATGATCCTTCATCCTCCTTCTAACTTTCACCTCCATACTTCAACCCTTGTCTCTTTCTCTACTTAAAAAAGATACATAAATGAAGCCAGAAGAGAGACTGCAACCAAGACTCAGAGCAGGGAACTCATAATGCCATTTAGTCCAGCCCTCTATTTTCACTGTACCTAAGGGATGAAATAAAATCTATCTGAGAACTAATGTTTCTCGTGCCCTCTCCAATCAAAAGTTAGAGTGATCTCAGTGATGAGGATTAAACCACCCAAATCTCATATTCATAAAAGGTTTAAGCTGAGAGAAACTTAAAAGTTAGTCACTTTATAGAAACCCAGAATAATGAGACTTGCTTAATGTTACACGTAATAATAAGTGGTATAACCAGGATTACAAATCAGGTTTAATTTCTAGGCCTCTGATCCTTTTTCTCTATTACCGACTAGGCCCCTTCAGCCCCACTGTCCCCTGGGTCTCCAACATACAGGCCTCCTTAAAAAGCATCTGGATCCGAATCAAGTGACAGATGTGACCCTCACAGGTACAATGCTCCCCAGAGAGCTCTCTGAACTCTTGACTCTTCTCCACAGTTAGGGCTAGCCTCTCTTCCTTAACACTACTTTGAATTGAGTGGGGACAGAGTAAAAGAGAAGGAGCGGGAAGGAAAGTAGGAGAGAAACAGAGAAGATGATGAGAACGAAAGACGACACGTGGACTCTGACCTGGGAAACAAGCCAACAGTCTTGCATCTGTGTGACACCACCACCTGCACATCACACAGAACAGGCAGAGTGGCAATGTGCGCAGAGAGTCAGAGAGAAGACAAAGGTGGCGCCCCCTAGCTGATTTCAACTAGATGGATAAGGAGGTTAGAATACACTGGAGAGCTGCCTTCTGCCTCACCAAGAGAAGAGACACAGGCACAAAAAAGATCCTGATTTGTAATCCTGGTTGTGTAGAGCTCTCTGTTCTCCCAAACTTCCTGCGGAGGGTCAAACCAGATCTAATATGGAAATCAAGGCCTGAGAGGAACCGTGGGAACCAACTCTCCCAAATTTCAAGGGCAGCAATTCTCAAGCACCTGAAGTTTCAGCCTCATTAGGGTGCTTCTGTAAAAATCTACAAAGATTTCTAGATCCTACCCCTAGAGATTCTGGCTTAGTATATGTGAGGTGGAGTTCAGAAATATGCACTTGAAGCAGGCTTCACAAGTGATTCCTGTGTAACTGAGCTGGGGACTATACTTTGAGAAACACTGACCTCCACACATATCACCTTGTGTGAAATCATTAAAAATTACATTGACAAGCACAAACCCAGAAACTTCTATTTGTCAGTTCAATAATGGCAAGACATAAGTTACACACATTCACTGTTTGAAAGAGAGTAAAAAGAGAGAGAGAAAAAAAAAACAAGTGTTGTATACATTATGTTCTCAACCATCCAAATTTGAGATTCAATCTAACTTGGTAAATAAGTAAAAAACAAAAACATTTTTATCATACTGGGTATTACAAACTATGGCAAAGGTATGAGCTATCCTCTGTATGTGGAGAGCAAAGCAACTTACACAAAGCTTATTTATCTGTTAAGAACTTTGTGATGTTTCCTCAAGACTCTACTTGATAGCAAACAATCCTAACATCCCCAATTTACAAAAAAGAAACTGAAAGTGAGAAGTCTGTGAATGGCTGAAAGTCTCACAGTTATCTGGCAAAATATCATAGTGATTGGGCCTAATCTTAGGCCTATCAACATGCTAAGCTGTTATACATAATGGTATCAAGACCCATGGGCTCTGAGGGATCCATCTGAGGTGGAAGTTTCAGTGTACTGACCATGACCACTGTTTAGGCTAATGTCTCTGAACACTAACACTTGAATAAAATCCAAACTTTCTTTGGGAGGTAGGAGGTCTTTAAAATCAGGCTGCAATATTATGTAGCCAGTACAAAACTGTACACTGGCAATAGGCTTTCAAGGGAACAGAATTCCATAGACATTTAAGCATATTTTATATTTATACTCGGTTAAGATGACCCATGGGGAAACATAACGTACGAACTGCACTTGAGTTCTTCACCTTGTATGACAAGATACAAACGAGTCTAAGAAATAACTTCATATTAGATTACTACGTTCATTAAACTCAGACTTGCTATATTTTGCCACAGAACAACTCAAACCTATTTATCTCTCTAGCACCTTGCACTGTACCTGGCACATACCTGGTGCTCAACATTTTTTGTAAATGTATAAATGGAAGATAGTGCATTTAGAGTGCTATATGTTCAAAAAAACAGTATGTATTCCACATTCAGAAGCTTTTATGAAATTGCTTTGATTCTGTTGGTTTTGACAAAGCCAAAGAACTACTGCAGGGGTTAACAGCCTTTTTCACCAAAATATGCAGATGTTTTGGTCAGAATCATGCATTAATACATAGAAGACAATACCATTAAAGAAGAGGTGGAAGCTCAGTTTTAAAATCTTGTCTCCCACACAGCAAAATTCCCTTAACCAAAATTCTGCCAAGACTTAATTCCATTTAAAAGATTTGGGGAATGTCTATTTCAGCCTATTGGTATGCAGAACACTGGTAGAGGGTTCCCTCTTTGTCATATGAGTGATAAAATAAATATCCCACCTAGATATAAGACTAGAAAGGAGCTAAGTAAGTTCAGTGGCTAACTTGTTTGTATTCTTATTCCAAACATTCCCTCCTAAAAACTGCTCAGAAAGTACAAAAGAAACTCAAGTGGCCTATTAGAATTATTACCAATGCAATTACTGCCTTCTGTAAAAACTGTACTCAACTGCTCAGCTGTATCGGACTCTTTGCAACTGTATGGACTGTGGCCCACCAGGCTCCTCTAACCATGGAATTTTCCAGGCAAGAATACTGGAGTGAACTGTGATTTCCTACTCCATTGTGTAGAAACTATATGAAAACTATTAGAAAAAACTATAATTGGAAAATTTTCAACTATATGAACTGGCCAGGAAAGAAGTTTTAAAATGATATTAGTAGAGTCTTTATAAATGTTCTTTATACATTTTATTTTTGACAAATTTCATCCCTCCATTTATGGCATATATAAATTCAAAACTATTTCTGAAATATTCTAAGAATATCGTAGTAGCCCTGTCCAACAGAACTTTCTGTGGTGATGAAAATGTTCCATATCTGAGCTGTCCAATACAGTAGCTACTAGCGACTCACTCAATACCTGAAATGTGCTAATGCATCTGAGGAACTGAATTTTAAATTTTATTTAAGTTAAATAAATTTAAAATTAAATTTGAGTAGCCACACGAGGCTAGTAGCTATGGAATCAAACAGCACAGCTCTAGGATATCACACTAACCAAGAGCACTACTGAGCATAAATGTTCGAGCAACTGCAGAGATGGAAGTTGTGAAAACAAATGACTTTGCCACTGCTAAATCACAACTAAAATAATTTCTAATGTTAAACACCTAAATATTAATTCTCACAGAATCTTATTTTTATCATATTAAATGTTTTGTACATCTTTTATTTTAGGCCTTTTTATTATTAAAAAGAATACTGTTTAGTAATCACTAATAATAAAGTTATATACCCATATATAAAACAATAAGCTCTTTGTGTGCTAAACAGAGGAACACAATAGACTTTATATCAAGCTCTATATCTCCCTCCTTTTTTGTTTCTTTGGCTGCACCACGTGGCACTCAGAATCTTAGTTCTCTGACCCGGGATTGAATCCGTGCCGCTGCCTTGGGAGTGTGGAGTCTTAACTATTGGACTACTGGGTAAGTACCCCACTCCTTTTTAAATCAGTTAAGCCACTGACCAGGTTGCAACATCTTTCAAAAATGACTAGAACAACAAATTTAAAAGATAAGAAGGGGAATTTTCAAAAAGCACATGAAAAGATGCTCAACATTTTTAATTATTAGATATGCAAATCAAAACTATAATGAGGCATCACCTCATACCAGTCAGAATAGCTATCATCAAAAAGTCTACAAATAACAAATGCTGGAAAGGGTGTGAGGAAAAGGGAATCCTCCAACACTGTTGGTGGGAATGTAAGCTGATGCAGCCACTGTGGAAAGTAGTATGGAGATGCCTCCTAACACTAAAAATAGAATTCCCATATGATCCAGCAATCCCATTCCTGGGCATATATCCAGACAAAACTGTAATTCAAAAAGAGATTATCATACTAAGTGAAGTCAGTCAGAAGCAGAAAGACAAATACCATATGATATCATTTACATGTGGAATCTAAAAAAAGGTTACAAGTGGACTTTTCACAACTACTTATATGTGGAATCTAAAAAATAATACAAATGAATATATACAGAAAACAGAGACTCACAGACTTCGAAAACAAACTTATAATTTCCAAAGGGGAAAGGTGGGGGCGGGGAGGACAAATTAGGAGTTTGGGATTAATACATACAAACTACTATATATAAAATAGATAATCAACAAAGACCTACTGTATAGCATGGAGAATTATATTCAATATTCTGTAATAAACCTATATGGGAAAACAATCTAAAAAAGAATGGATATATGTACAACTGAATCACTTTGCTGTATGCCTGAAACTAACACAACATTGTAAATCACCTGTTCTCCAATATAAAGTTAAATTAAATTTTAAAAGGGATAAGGGGCATTTTATAAAGAGATTATGGAACATAAACCTACCATGACCATTTTCCTTTGTTCATACAGCTTCTGTAATTGGTAGGATTTTTCCTCTGCTTTGATGTAACCTTTTTTCACATCATCAACAGCCTGTCACCAAAACAAAGGCAAGGAAGAAAGAAATGTAAAAATTATTATCAAGTACATTCTTGATAGAAATAAAGGGATACAGATTCATTTTCACAATAATTCCTATCCATCTGGACCATCATCATCATTGCCTGTGAACCCTGCAACTCTTATTCTAGGTCTGTCCTGTTAAGAGATTTAAATTCAGGTTAATTTATACATGTGAAATAATTTCAGAACACTGAAAGATAGTACACAATACTGTATTAAAGATAATGATGAAGTAGCAAAAATGTGTGACATAAATAGTAAGTGATACATGAAGCCAGAACAGGAAAGCTTATTGCTAACTGTAGTTATCAAGGAAGTCTTGATTGGACCCCACAGGATAGGCTGAATAAGAGAAACTTCAGGCTAAAGTCACAAAACAGAAACGGGTTTGAATTTAAATATATTCAGGAGACAGACTTGCCTGATCAGAATAAAGGATACATGTTAGTGGAAAATAATTCTGGATGCATAGGTTAATAGAATATAAAGGATCCCAAAGAGCAGGCATAGAATTTAGGCTTAAGGACAGTAGAAAGCTAAAATAAATAAATAAAAAGTTGTTGTTTCAGAAAGATTGATCTCTACATGACTGCCAAATGATTTAAGCTAAGAAGAGAATGAAACAAGGAAGATCAATGATATTGTGGTACTTTAAGCATTAAGTGAAACAAGACCTTAGTCCAGTGGGGTAGCAACTGGAAGAGAGAAGTGATAAATCTGAGACCATAAACAGAAAAGCTTCCAGTGAGGATCTGATATAGAAATGAAGGTATCCAGATATAATACACTAAACTATTCCTAGTTCAGCTGTATGAAACATATATCCCCTTCCCAACCTTACTCCACCTCTCCTCCACTCTAAGAAAAACTTTAAAAATTCAATGGATGGGAAAACTGATCTTTGGGAAGGAAAAAAAAAAAAAAGAAAAAGAACAAACAGAACCATTTGTCCAGAGCATTCAGGATCTACCCTCAGTGAGTTTACTCCAAAGACAACCCTATGCAGACAGCAGGCAGGGAACCACCTGAATCTTTACCAGAAAACTGCCGATTTCCTTCAGGTAGAAATCATTCCCCATAGTCTTTTACAGGAAAACATTTGCCTATTAGAATGAATTCAGGATTGAAGTCAAGAGACGAGTTCAAATTCTAGCTGTCACCTACCCATATACATTTGAGTAAGTCACTTAAACCCTCTCATTCTGTAAAACAAGAATAAAATCCATTTTGAAGGTAGACAACAGAACAAGATAAAAAATGTTAACAGCTTTGTGAAATATATATAAATAGTTATTATTACTACCATTGATATTGGCATCATTTGCCTGTTAAATTCTAAGAACCACACAAGGATATATCCTCCCTGGGACTGCCACTGGAGAGAGTATCCCCGTATCTCCCCAACCCTAGCCATACAAGCGAGGATTCACTTAGGCAGAGAGGTTATATTCACAGAAGGGATGCTCAGTGAGAACTGCCACCAACGTCCTGCAGAACCTGAATACTGTCACCAAAAGACTTGGCTGCTCCAGCGAGATCAAGTTTAAACCAGTTACACTGAAAAGCTGGGAGAGAAGTAAAGAGGGAAAACAAACAAATATTGGTTTATCAATTCAGTTTCTCCAATACCTAGAACTGTCCAACTAGTAACAGCACTTAAATACTTACTGATGACCATTTCCCCTGGGCAGAGGTGGGCCAGAGTGAACATCTACTCCAGCAACTCTAAGTGAACTATTTTCATGTGGGGCAGTAAAAATGTTCTCTCCTCACTCATTTCTAATCAAGATTATATTGCTTGATTGGCTGAGTGGAAAACATAAAATATCAGGACACTAGATTCCTTTTTCCCTTAACTGAAAAAAATTATGAAATAAAAGAGATACATAGTTTTTAAAAACATGTATTACTTAGAGGCATCTAACCAAAACAAGTTTGATCACACAGCCTCATTCCAGATATTGTTAAGCACTGTAAGCAGTTTTTTGTAATATTCCTTTCATAATTCTAAATGTCATGCTTATGCTAATTCCTAACTTGTCAATTTTAGACAATGTTGACTTGCTGTGTTAAAAATAATAAGTTTTGGGCTTCCCTAGTGGCCCAGTGGTAAAGAATCCTCTTGCCAATGTAGAAGACATGGGTTCAACCCTTGATCCCAGAAGATTTCACATGCCTCGGAGCAACTAAGCCCATGTGCCACAACTACTGAGCCTGTGCTCTAGAGCCCAGGAGCTGCAACTACTGAATCCACATGCCACAACTACTGAAGCCTGCCTGCCCTAGAGGCCATGCTCCACAAAAAAGGAAGTCACCACACTGCAACTAGAGAGTAGCCTCCTGTTCACCTAACTAGAGAAAGTCCTTGCACAGCAATGAAGACCCAGCACAGCCATAAATAAATTATTTTTAAAAATAAATAAAAAGAGTTAAAAAAAAAAGTTTTAGGGACTACCCTGGTGGTCCAGTGGTTGAGCATCCATGCTTCCACTGCAGAGGGCATGGGTTCAATCCCTGGTTGGGGAACTAGGATCCCACATACCATAATGTGCAGCCAAAAATAGTAATGTTTTAGCTTTCATGTACCACTCCTACACTCTCTCTTCTTCCTCCAACATCTCAATAAAAATTAAATCAGTAATCAGTATTGAATACTGTACTCAACACATTATTATAAACACGTAAACATTGTTCACAACTAAATCATGTGCTGTTACCAGGGCTTCCTTTCTTATATATTTTGTTTTCCTTTTAGGTTAACTGCCTTATGTTTATAACTTTCCACATGCCTCTTACCAATTCTTCCACAACAACCAAACACCAAACTCCTGTTGACTCATTCAAACATTCGTTTTCTAAAAACTGTTGACCATTCTCATCTATTGTGTCTCCGCCTATTCTCTTCACAGGTTTACGCCTCTTAAAATCCATTATGATTATTCTAGTAAGCTTTCAAAAAGTAGTTTAAATGTATATTTAATCTGCCAGGTTTAGCCAGAAATTAAATATATCCTACTATGGATTTTGACTTATCAATTTTTTAAGGAAATGGCACATAACTATCATTATTATCTAGTATTTCATCAATTCTAGGGTACACAGTTTTCTCACATTTTATCATTCCTATAATTGGGATGCATCTTATAATCAACAATATATGTTGTTTAATTGGTAGCTTTTTTCTCTTAGCAGTACATAAAATACTAGTGCATCTTACAACTGATGGCATCTTAGAATTCATGAGATGCCTGAGACAGTCCCATCAACAAAATATGATACAAAAAATCAACTAAAATTAAGTGAGCGAAAAATTTTAGTATTATTTTCCAAAAGGCACAATTGTTTACCTAGTCAATCATAAAATCATTTGAGCTGCTGTGCACTGCTAGGAATGTAAAATGGTACAGCTGCTATGGAAAACAGTGAGGCGGTTCCTCAAAAAATTAAAAATAGAATTACTATATGATCCAGCCATTGATCATGATTCTGGGGATATTAAAAGCAGAATTTTGAAGAGACATTTACATAACCATGTTCATAACAGCATTATTCATAATAGCCAAGAGGTAAAAGCAACCCAAATATCCATCCACAGATGAATAAACAAAATGTGATATACACATACAATGGCATATTATTATTCAGCTTTAATAACATGAATAAGCCTTAAGGACATTATGCTAAATAAAATAAGCAAGTCACAAAAGACAAATAATGTATGATTCCATTTACATGAAATATCTAAAGTAGTCAAGTTCACAGAAAGTAGAATGGGAGTGGCCATAAGTAGGGGAGAGGAAAATGAGTTGTTTAATGGGTAAAATTTTAGTTTTGCAAGAGGAAAAAGTTCTGAAGATCTATTGCATAATGAAGTGAATTTAACACTACTGAATTGCACATTTTTAAATGGCTGATAGTTAAAAAAAAACTTACCAAATTATAAATTTTAAATACATACAGTCTATTGTGTCAACTATACCTTAATAAAGCTGTTTAAAAAACGGAAGAAATAGGAGAGTTCAAAAAGTTTTGGGGTATGAGACACTGATACAAAAACAAAAGCTTTTCTATCTATCCACCTAAATGTTTTGTTCTGTTGTTGTTTAGTTGCTAAGTTGTGTCCAATTCTTTGTGACCCCATGGACTATACAGCCCACCAGGCTTCTCTGTCCATGGGATTTCCCAGCCAAGAATACTGGAGTGGGGATTACCATTTCCTTCTCCAGGGGATTTTCCCGACCCAGGGATCAAACCTCTATATATATTGGCCGGTGGATTCTTTACCACTGAGTCACCAGGGAAGCTAGCCTTACTTTTGCTTTACAGTTTTATAATTCAAAAAGTAATTTCACAAGCTCTGCTTTGTTTAAAGTTTGATACTGATTTTTTTAAAAAGTGAAGTACTACTATTACCCTTTAACAGATCAGAAAACAGATTTTAACAAAGCTATGTTAAGTATTTACCCAATGGAGAGCTTGTACTTACTTGAACGAGATATTCTCACTTCCAGAAAATAATTTTTCTACTCCAACAACACAAAGAAAAAATATTCCATTCATAACTGTAATAAAAATATAAAATACTTGGGAATTAATTTAAGGAGGCCTATGTGATCTGATGGCTCAGATGGTAAAGAATCTGCCTGCAAGACAGGAGACCTGGGGCGCGTGTGTATGCACGCACACGCACACAAACACACACACACACACACACACACACACACACTGATTACTGAGCCATAAAAAAGAATGAAATAGTGACATTTGCAGCAACATAGGCAGACCTAGAGATTATGACACTAACCAAAGTCAGTCAGAAAAAGACAAATGTCATGTGACATCACTTGTATGTAGAATCTAAAATATGACACAAATAAACATATCTGTGAAACAGAACACACTCACAGACATAGAGAATAGATCTGCAGTCACCACGGGGGAGAAAGGATTGGGGGAGGGAAGAATTGGGAGTTTGGAATTAGCAGATGCAAACTATCATATAAAGGATGAATAGATAACAAAGTCATATTATACAGCAATGGGATCTATATTCAATATCCTGTGATAAACCATAATGGAAAAGGATATGAAAAAGAACATGTGTATACACATGTGTAACTGACTCACTTTGTTGTACAGTAGAAATGAACACAATTATAAATCAACGCTTCAATAAAATGAATTTTTTAAAAAATATGCTCAGTATCACTAATTATTAGAGAAATGCAAATCAAAACTGCAATGAGGTATCACCTCACAATGGTCAGAACAGCCATCATTAAAAAGTCTACAAATAAGAAATGCTGGAGAGGGTGTGGAGAAAAACGAACCCTCCTACACTATTGGTAGGAATGTCAATTGGAGCGGCTACTGAGGAAAGTAGTTACACCAATCTTTGCAGGGGTTCCAAAATCACTGCAGATGGTGACTGCAGCCATGAAACAAAAAGACACTTACTCCTTAGAAGAAGAGTTATGACCAACCTAGACAGCTTATTAAAAAGCAGAAACATTACTCTGCCAACAAAGGTCCATCTAGTCAAAGCTATGGTTTTTCCAGTAGTCATGGATGGATGTGAGAGTTGGACTATAAAGAAAGGTGAGCACTGAAGAATTGATGCTTTTCAACTGTGGTGTTGGAGAAGACTCTTGAGAGTCCCTTGGACTGCAAGGAGATCCAACCAGTCCATCCTAAAGGAAATGAGTCCTAAATATTCATTGGAAGAACTGATGCTGAAGCTGAAACTCCAATACTTTGGCCACCTGATACAAAGAACTGACTCACTGGATAAGACCCTGATGCTGGGAGAGACTGAAGGCAAGAGGAGAAGGGGATGACAGAGGATGAAACGGTTGGATGACATTACCAACTCAATGCGCATGAGTTTGAGTAAACTCTGGGAGTTGGTGATGGACAGGGAGGTCTCGCATGCTGCAGTTCACAGGGTCGCAAAGAGTCAGACACAGCTGAGCAAATGAACACTGAACTGAAGAGAACTGTGGAAACCAGTATGGAGGTTCCATATAAAACTGAAAGTAGAGCAGAGTTACCATATGATCCAAAAATTCCACTCCTGGGCATATATATGGAGAAAACTAATTCAAAAAGATACAAGAACCCCAATGTTCACTGCAGTACAATTTATAAGAGGCAAGTCATGGAAGCAACCTAGACGTCCATGGATAGATGAATGGATTAAGAACATGTGTGTCTGTCTGTCTGTGTGTGTGTGTGTGTGTGTGTGTGAGATAAGAGTATTATTCAGCCATAAAAAATAATGAAATAATGCCACTTGTAGCAACATGGCTAGACTTAGAGATTATCATATTAAGTGAAATCAGACAGAGAAAAACAAATATCATATGATATCATTTATATGTAGAATCTAAAATATGATACAAATGAACTTCTTTAAAAAACAGAAACAGGGGACTTTCCTGGTAGTCCAGTGGTTAAGACTCCATGCTCCCAATACAGGGAGCATGTGTTTGATCCCTGGTCGGGGAACTAAGATCCCACATGCTTACCAAAGGGGAAAGTGCAGGGGATAAACTAGGAGTTTAAGATTAACAGATACACACTACTATATACAAAATAGGTAATTAACAAGGACCTACTATTTAGCACAGGGAACTGTACTCAATATCTTGCAATAAACCATAATAGAAAAGACTATGAAAAAGAATACACATATATGTATAGCTGAATCACTCTGCTGTACACCAGAAACTAACACAACATTGTAAATCAACTATACCTCAATAAATTTTTTTTTAAAAAGATGGAATAAATAACAACAGAAAAACAAAGCTAAAAAGAGGTGAAAGTGGTTGCCTATAATAGGAAAGAAGTGGGAATAACCTAATATTTTTCATAATAACCTGTGTAGAACTATTTGATGCTTTAAGCTCTATGGATGAATAGTTTTGATGAAAATTTTTTTAAATTTATTCTTTTTAATTGAAGGATAATTGCTTCATTGTGTTGGTCTCTGCTATACATCAGCATGAATCAACCATAGGTAATACATATGTCTCCTCCCTCTTGAACCTCCCTGCCATCTCCCAGCCCATCCTACCCCTCTGGGTTGTCACAGAGCCCGTCTGAGTTCTTGAGTCACACAGCAAAGGCCCACTGGCTGTCTGTCTTACACACGGTAGTGTGTGTGTTTCCATGCCACTCTCTTCAGCCACCCCACCCTTTTTCCTCCTTCTGCCTCCCATGCCCATAAGTCTGTTCTCTATGTCTGCATCTCCATTGCTGCCCCGCAATTAGGTTCATCAGTACCATCTTTCTAGATTCCATATATATATACATTAATATTTGATACTTGTTTTTCTTTCTGACTTACTTCACTCTGTATAATAGGCTCTAGATTCATCTACCTCATTAGCACTGACTCAAATACGTTCCTTTCCATGGCTGAGTAATATTCCATTGTATATATGTAGCGCAGCTTCTTTATCCACTCATCTGTCGATCGACATCTAGGCTGCTTCCATGTCCTAGCTATTGCAAATAGCGCTGCAATGAACATTGCGCTACACATGCCTTTTTCAATTATGGTTTTTCTCAGGGTAGTGGGAATGTTGGGTCATATGGTAGTTTTATTCCTAGTTTTTAAAGGGATTTCCATATTGTCTGATGAAGATCTTTTTGAAAAAGTACATAGCCCCATAATCTTCATTTGCTCTTGCTTTAAAAAATAATAATAAATACATTTTGAACTCCAGGATATCCCCTTCTTAAACTTATCTTTTGTGAAATGCAACAGAACATTTTACAAATTTAACTAAAATCTAGGAGGCAAAACAGCTTACTCAAGGATTTACACAGGATTGGCAAATGACCACTATATACATACAGAAAAAGAAATTAGGCCTCTACAGGGAGATCAATTTACCTACCTGATGAAAGAAGTACGTAACAGCAAGGTCATTGTCATTTAAGAGGATTTCTTCTTCTGTCGTAAAAAGCCACTTTCGAATGGTCAAGCAGGTACCTGGCACAGCTGATGTGTAATTCTGGACGTAGAGTTTATGGGGAAATTCATTAGGTGCCAGCTTACGCACTAGAGAGAAGACAAAACAAAGCAAGCCAGAGTGAGAAGACACATAAGGCATTTCCTTAGTATAAACTGTATAAAGCAGACAAGAATGGAGTTGATCATTAACCAGGATATCAGCTTAGACCGTCAAGAAGCTCTGCCTTGGGACCACAAAATATCCATTTTTCTAGCCAAATCTATGCCTTCTAATATGACTAGCCAGTTGAGCCTCAAGCTAAATGAAATCTCTCACCTGAATGACACACCCTTCAGTTAACATGCTAACTCCGCAAACAGCACCTACTTCAAAGTCAGTTAAAATATCTGATCCATTATTGGGCAAGTTATGGCAATGACCACTGAACTCTTTAAAGCAAGTCTCCCCTTTTATCCAGCTATAGTGCATTTTATTTACTTATGGTGCTTTTATTGTGAAGAGCTGAAAGACTCTCCCTACCCCTCCACAAATATAAGACATTCATCAAAGTGAAAAGTGTCTTCTGGGTAGCATTATTTCCTCTTCCTAACAATGCTCAAGCAAGATAAAACACTACCACTTTTAATTTCTATACTGTTTCTCTGGAAAAAGGCTAAGTTCTTTCTCTTGATGTTTACTGTCTTTATATAGAGATACCAAGGGAACATTTCATGCAAAGATGGGCACAATAAAGGACAGAAATGGTAAGGACCCAACAGAAGCAGAAGATATTAAGAGGTGGCAAAAATACACAGAAGAACTGTACAAAAAAGATCTTAATGACCCAGATAATCACGAAGGTGTGATCACTTACCTAGAGCCAGACATCCTGGAATGTGAATTCAAGTGGGCCTTAGGAAGTATCACTACGAACAAAGCTAGTGGAGGTGATGGAATTCCAGTTGAGCTATGTCAAATCCTAAAAGATGATGCTGTGAAAGTGCTGCACTCAACATGTCAGCAAATTTGGAAAACTCAGCATTGGCCACAGGACTGGAAAAGGTCAGTTTTCATTCCAATCCCAAAGAAAGGGAATGCCAAAGAATGCTCAAATTACTGCACAATTGCACTCATCGCACACGCTAGCAAAGTAATGCTCAAAATTCCCCAGCCAGGCTTCAACAATACGTGAACCGTGAACTTCCAGATATTCAAGCTAGATTTAGAAAAGGCAGAGGCACCAGAGATCAAATTGCCAGCATCCGTTGGATCACTGAAAAAGTGAGAGAGTTCCAGGAAAACATCTATTTCTGCTTTACTGACTATGCCAAAGCCTCTGACTGTGTGGATCACAACAAAATGTGGAAAATTCTTTAAGAGATAGGAATTCCAGACTACCTGACCTACCTCCTGAAAAATCTGTATGCAGGTCAAGACGCAAAAGTTAGAACTGGACATGGAACAACAGACTGGTTCCAAATCAGGAAAGAAGTACATCAAGGCTGTCTATTGTCACCCTGCTTATTTAACTTATATGCAGAGTACATCATGAGAAAGTCTGGGCTGGATGAAACACAAGCTGGAATCAAGATTTTGCCAGGAGAAATATCAATAACCTCAGATATGCAGATGACACCACCCTTACAGCAGAAAGTGAAGAAGAACTAAAGAGCCTCTTGATGAAAGTGAAAGAGGAGAGTGAAAAAGTTGGCTTAAAACTCAACATTCAGAAAACTAAGATCATGGTATCTGGTCCCATCACTTCATGGAAAATAGATGGGGAAACAATGCAAACAGTGACAGACTTTATTTTGTTGGGCTCCAAAATCACTGCAGATGGTGACTGCAGCCATGAAATTAAAAGATGCTTACTCCTTGGAAGAAAAGTTATGACCAACCTAGACAGCTTATTAAAAAGCAGAAACATTACCAAAAAAAAAAAAAAAAAGCAGAAACATTACTTTGCCAACAAAGGTCCATCTAGTCAAAGCTATGGTTTTTCCAGTAGCCATGGATGGATGTGAGAGTTGGACTATAAAGAAAGCTGAGCACCAAAGATTTGATGCTTTTCAACTCTGGTGTTGGAAAAGACTCTTGAGAGTCCCTTGGACTGCAAGGAGATCCAACCAGTCCATCCTAAAGGAAATCAGTCCTGAATATTCATCGGAAGGACTGATGCTGAAGCTGAAACTCCAATACTTTGGCCACCTGATGCAAAGAATTGACTCATTGGAAAAGACCCTGATGCTGGGAAAGACTAAAGGCAGAAGGAGAAGGAGATGACTGAGAATGAGATGGTTGGATGGTATCACCAACTCAACGGGCATAAGTTTGAGTAAACTCAGGGAGTTGGTGATGGACAGGGAGGCCTGGTGTGCTGTAGTTCATGGGGCAGCAAAAAGACGGACACGACTGAGTGAACTGAACTGAACTGAAAAGCTTAGAAAAGAAGGATAAGATTAGAATCCTAGTGTCCTGCTTCCTTAGCAATCCTTTGCAACATTCTGCCTATTAGACTACAGAGAGTTGGGAAGACAATAAATAATTGAGAAATAGTTGCTTTAGAGGGAATCAAAGTTGTTCTACCTTGACCTGCGACAACAGGTCAAGGCGATGACAATTCAGGGTGATTCAAATCTCCCAAACTCTCTCCCTTTCCAGAATGGGGAAATTCTGATCTATTGATATTATCTGTTGTTTCTGGCCTTACCCCTATATATGTATGATGTGGAAAAAACCCATAAACCATTGGAAATCTGTCATTTAAAGAAAGCCTTCTGACTTCCTCCCCTTTGTGGTCTCAATGAAACTGTTCCTAGCTTTTATAAAATAATATGTAAAATAAAATCTTTGTCACCATGCAACAAAACTTCCTAGAAAAAGGATACCTGTTTACACAGAAACTTAAATACATGCATTAAAGCAAAGCCTTTTAATCAGTGTATCTCTAACTCCTGAAAACAAAAAGCTATTCTTAAAAATCTACAAAAAGCATAAAGAACACTAAAACAAGCTGTAGTTAAATAAAATCTCCTTTTAAGGTGGTTTCATTAGAATATATTAATTTTGAATCTCTGACTTTAAAAAATCTCATGAAAATATCTGCTTCAGTGCTGGGTGTAAGTAATCAACACTGACAGAAGAAGAAAAAGGCGATCAGATACCTAGACTTGGGCTTAATGGGATTTGTCCTGTCTGCTTGTTAGAAACAGTTCCAATTAGTGGTACTGCCCTGTATCTTCAATACCTTCTTCTCTAGGCCAACAGTTTCAATCTGACAGCTTCTGGGATATTCGGTACATTAGTACTAGAATAAAATATTCCCAAACTTAATATCAGTCACTGGCACTTACCAAAGGAATGATTGATCACTTCAAATAAGGCAAAGTAATTCACTGTCGTACTGTCCATGCCAACCTTTGCTGCAATTGCCTAAAGTGTAAATGAAATACATTAGTTTTAGGGAAACTAAGCACAGTTTCACGGGGCTGGGAAAAGACAGGTGTATGCATGAGAAGCAGGGAGAAGAGAAGGGTCTTACTATCTTGGTTTTCACATAAACTAAATCCATGAACCATAGCTACTCTTCTTTGTATATATGTATACATGCATGAAATAAAAGGGTAAAAATACCTATAGTAGTTGACCCAAATAGCTATGATCTCTAAATATGAATTTTAAAGCTGATTAATAGTCTCTCCTTAAATATCACCTTTGCTCTCTGAAATGTAACTTCATCTCATAAGGGTCTTTTTTAACAGCACTTAACAAGACATGTGCTTCACAAGGACAAATTTTAAGAGGAAAATAAATTTTTATAAATATCTAGTCTTACACATTCAGCCTACATTTTAATACAGGCTGTTACCATACAAGATCTATATCTTTGGTTCTTGAGCTTAAAATACTGGTTATCAATTTTGCTCATACTTCACAAATTATTCTTGTTTACTTTTCAGATAATCCATGTTTCATGCTTGGGACCTCCATCTCCTAAGAATTATTGTCATTCTTACCCACATGAAAAAAGCAAAACGTTAGAACAACAAAGACACTTTGAACAAATATCAGTTCTTCTCTCTAGAAATTAAGGTCCTAACATGACAAATAAAAACAAATTAAAAGATCCATATGCAGATAAAAGAAAACTGAAATTACATACAAACAACAACAAAACACAAAGCAAAAAACACAAACTAGTAGTATCAAAATTCCTTTTCAAGGTCAATCTCAAAATGTATAAATAAGATGTTAATTAAACAAGAAGAAACTGTTGGGTATTAGTGTCTCAGTAAACCAAAGAGAAGTATATCCTTCTTCCCAGATCTGCTCACGAAGCAGACCTAGGGTCATCCCTGAAGTGAGGTAGAAACTGGAGACTGTAAGTGTTCTAAGTTACAATTCTATACTGCACCGGACAGAAACTGATACCTTCTCAGGATTTGGAAAATGGCTTATAGCTAGAAGTCTCAGTAATTGGGTAAGGAGAAAACTGAAAAAAAAATTAGACTTTTGTAGAGAAATATTGAAAACAAAACATCAGTAAGGTATATAAAATTAATGTTTTCCTTGTAGTCAATCTACCATTTTATAATTTCTGAAATACCTCAGATCCTGTACATACTCTTTGCCATGGTATACAGTAAATGTTTGGGGGATAATTTATTTGCTACAAAGTAGAAATAAGCACTAATATCCAAAAACCTGATAGTCTCTCTGAAAACCTTTATCAAATCAAGATTAACAACCAAAGAAAAGGCCTAAAAGAAACAATTATACCCAGCACCCGGATCATGATCTTTAAATACCATTCCTCACTGAAAGGAAACAGGACTCCTTGGGGAAATGGCTGATTCTAGATCTAGTTTAGGAAATATACAAAGATGAGCCCAAAGCATCTTGTTATACCAAAAAGCAAGGATGCTATCATAAACAAATGAACTGCACCAAAAAAACCCACAGGAGCAGACATGAAGGAGCTTCCAGTGACCAAAGACAGAACAATGTGAGCACCAAAAAGAAAATTGCTTTTGATCAAATCATACTGAGTACCTAAAAACCCACATGATACTAAAAAAAAAAAAACTCATTGGATATCACTGGAATCAATAAGGGCACCATTTCTTTATACCACAAATTGGCAATAAAAGGGAAGAATTACATATTTATCTCCCCTTGCCTACAAACTGTATTTCAGGATACCAAATAACCTTCGTTGATAAGGGAACATTCTTATAGAAGAATTCTAGTTAATAAATGTGAAGACATGAGAGAATTGGAAAATCAGCATTTTGCAACCCTTAATAAAATCACTGGTTACAACAGCAATCATCAGTGAAAAACTCAATGAATAAAAAAATCGGTGGAGTAAACAATGGAGATATCAAGTTATTACCACCTAAACCTACTAATTAATCACTAAAAGTGGATAACCAGATACTGCGTTCCTCCTGTTGAGAAGTAATATGAAGTATATAACACAGATTACGAAGTATTCTTAACAGAAAAGCTGAATCTAATCGAGCCTCTAGAGCAAAATTACATTTATAGAAAATATAAGGCAACAGAAAGACATATTAAATGATATAAATAGACAAAAGAAACAAATGGGTAAATTCAGAATGTGGAACATTCCACAGGACACAGACCCAATTTCTGCAATAAAGCAAATAATCCGGGGGGGGAACGTTGGGGAAGGGAAGGAAAGGGAGCCTGCCCTATATTAAAACAAACATAAAAACCAAATATCACATGAGGACCTTGTTTAGATCCAGATTTTAGCAAACCAATTGTAAAGAATCATTTTTAGACAACTGGGAAAACTTGACTATGGATTTGTTATTAGTTAATACCATGCAAGTAGTTAATTTTTTAGGCTTGATAATGGTTTTGTGATTATGTAAGAAGAATGTCCATATTTTTTAGAGATGCATACAGGTCCAATAACATGGAATTTGTCATAAAATATTTAAACAAAGGAAAAGGAAAACTGGATATGTAACACAAATGTGGCAAAATCTTGAGGATTATTAAATATGAGTAATGAGAACATGGGACTTTATGGTACTATTCTATTTTCATGTACATTATAAAGTTTTTACAATTAAAAAGAGGGGGTACTAATAACAACCAATACAACCTAAGATATTTATTGCCTTTAAGGAAGACAAAGTACTTTCAAATTAATAATAATCAACATCAACACTAGCAGCTAATATTTAATAAATTTATTACATGCCAGATACTCTAAGCACTTTATGTGTATTAACTCATTTAATCTATCTTTCTCAGTTTTAAACCAACCAATGTCAAGTCTACTTGTTCAAGTTTAATTTACCTGATATACTTGGTCTGTAGTACTATTCTTTTTAACCCTGACTGTAACTGTCGTTCCATCTGGTAATGCTACTCTCAGCTCTACATCGGACACACCATTGTAATTCTGGGGAAAAGACAGAAAAAGAATTAATTAAAAAAAAATTATGACCCAGTATATCTTCACTCTCCTTGCAACATGCTAGCTAAACAACAGCCTAAACTTGTGATGGAAAAAAAATGAGTTTCAATGAAAAGGGGAAAAAAGACATAAATCAATACATTTACATTTTATAAGTCAGTCATAAAGCTAAATTTCGGCTCCAGCAAAAGTTAACCTTTAAGAGGAACAGGAAGGAAACAAATATGTTAAACTCAATGTGTTCATATCCAAAACAGAAAATTTGTGTGAAGCAGTCTAGGTCAAACACAGATGAAATTTTTGGCTTACTTTCAAACATTCAGAACTCACAAATGAGAAAAGAAAACAACGAAAGCAGTAGTTTCAACAAATAATCTCTGGTTTTAAATGGTCAGGCATGGGTTTCCCTGGTAGCTCAATGGTAAAGAATCCACCTGCCAATGCAGGAGACACAGGTTTGATCCTGGGTTGGGAAGATTCCCTGGAGGAGGAAATGGCAACCCACTCCAGTATTCTTGCCTGGGAAATCCCATGGACAGAGGAGCCTGGTGGGCTACAGTCCATGGGGTCACAAAGAGTTGGACACAACTTAGCAACTGAACAACAACAATACCAGACTGGCTCAAGTGAAATTCTAAGTTCCTTTCCAGACTCTGAAATAATCATCACACCTTTGAAAGGAAAAATTGATGAAACTCAGGAATCTGCATTAGTCTGATGTACAATTTTCTTCAAGCAAAGAGTAAACAATTTTTATCCTCCTTAATTTAAAAGAAGTCCTTTTCTCTTACTGCTTTTTATAAATTTACACATTCCTCCAACAAACTGTGACCTTGTAATTTTTACTACGGAGAAACAACTATTTACTAAATACCACTTTTTAAAAAGTAAAATTGCCTAAAATCATCCGAAGCATTACTTTGTTATAAGCTCTTGTCTGCAAGAACTTACAATCCAGTTGGGAAAATAAAATATATACATATAAAATAATCAATGAATAACATACTAGTACAGTAGCATTACACAGTCATTTGTCTATTCAATTAGTATTTATTAAGCACCTACAATATGTTTGACATTGTGCTAAGGCACTGGGAATATAAAGATGATCAAGATTTAGCTCTTATTCTGAAGATCTAATGTACAGCATGGTGATCATAGTTAACAATACTATTTCATATATCTGAAATTTGCTAAGGGGCAGATCAGAAGTGAAGAAAGGAAGGAAGGGAACATGGAAGGATGGAAGGAAGAAAAGAACAAGAAGGAAGGGAGGAAATAGTAATGAGATGATAAATATGTTAACTTGACTACAGTGATCATTTCACAACTTATACAGATATCAAAACATCAAATCATATACCAAAATATATACAATTCCTATTTGACAATTATGTCAAAAAGCTGAAAAGAAAACAATTAAGATTTAGCTCTTACCTACAGGTAGCTCACACTCTAGTAAAGTAAAATTATAAAGTGATAACCTGACTATATGTATAAAAAATTAGAGAATGAGATAGCAACAAGGTGACAATTAAGTGGTACTGACTGCAGAAATTCTTGGTGGAATAGAAAACTAATGACGTGAACATCAGGGAAGGGGTCAAAGAGAAGGTAGACCTAACACTAGGACATGAAGGATAAGCAGAACACGTAAAAAAAAAAAAAAAAGAAGTTGAAAAATTAGTCATTTGGAGAATTTATGGCAATTCAACCCAGAAACAATAACTTCAATTTTCCCCCACAAGGAGCCAAGAGGGGAATAGTCACTGTAGTGGGTATTCACCTACCTCATCTGATTCTGATAGAAATTCCTGCATGATGTCACTTTCGCCAATGACTCGTATTGAGCACACTATAGAAAACAAAGATAGAATCTGGCATGAGGCCCTAAAATTAAGAATATATAGTCAAGAACCTATCAAGATTTAAATATAAATCATCAGTAGCAGGCAATGCTGAAGTAGTATGCCATTCATGACACATGGTATTTTAAGGCACAACAAACATTTACATATTAAGTAGAACTGAGGAATAACAGGATGTACAAAGATACAGCTTGCTAAAAACATTAAAAATAGACAAAGGAAGTCACTCATAAAAGAGAAATAAAAGTTCAGTAAATCCAACTTTGATGGCTTGTGTTAATAAGCCAGAGAACAGAGCAAGAGCATGGACAATTAGGAATGTATCAAACACAAAATTAAAATACAAAGAAAAATATCTATTTGGCATAGGAGAAGGTCAGTAAGAGAATCATTAACATTTAAAGCCACTTTGGAAAAAAAGGGGTAATCAAGTATTAAGCTGAGTACATCTTTTCATCTCACTAAGTTTAACTTCAAAACAACTACAACTGAAAAAAAAAAGAGAGAAAAAGAGAAAAGGAAGGAAAGGAAAACAGGCAGGTAGGCAGGCAATCGTCTAAGAGAGTCAATTTCCTAACATTCTCATGGGGATAATAAATTACACAGCTGATTTTACTTCATTTTATTAAAAAAAATTTGTACTCTTTTTCATTTCCCAGGGGCTGTGTTTAGAGGTCATTCCACCTTAGAGAAGTTAAAAATAGATGAAGTTTAACTACCTTCTATGGAGGAAATGGTTTTTCTTCAGGGAAAGCTCTCTACCAAAGTTTTAAAAAATTCAACTAGGTCAATTAGTTCTTCTACAAGGACACAGAATTACTAAATACCACATAAGACCATTATTCTATTAAATAAGTATTTTAAAGAAAAAACTATTGCACGCCTAGCAAATTCTATAACTCTATAATATATCAAAGCAAGGTCTCCTCTCTGAGCCACAAACTGAACCATCATATTTAGGAGATTCATGTCATCTCTCCCTGCCTTTCTAGACAAATGAATGTCTCAGCTTCCACATCCAAAGATTCCTAATGTCTTGTCTGCAAGTCCTGAGATACTAATAACAAGTTAGTTTTAATATTTCTACCTATAGCCTGCTAAGAACAAGGGGACTTTAGCTTACTTACAACTCAGCAAACCTGTCCAAAAGGAATAAGGAGTTTTCAAGTAGGCTATGTTAGTAAACTAAGAATCACTTTCGTAAAAATGTCTTAAATACCTAGCTTCCAAATAAATTTAGCATGTTGAGTGTGTATGTGTTTGCTGGCAAATAATATAACCCTACAAACAAAGGCCCTTAACATATAAAAAAATAATTATGCATTTTTTTATTGTTGTTAAGTGTTCAGTGAGTCAATAATATAGGCTATCAACTGCTGTACTGAACAGTTCAGTGTTGGCTTTAACGCTCAGATCAATCAACATCTATAGTCAGAAATGTGACTTTCACTATTGAGTTTCAGGAACTTAGCTATGCAGCTTAAGAGCCACAACATACTATCTTGACCCCATGTTTACTCAAGATAATAGAGTTTAATAGGCTGGCTTACCTTTTTCTAGATATTCTTCCAACCCCCGACGTCGGGCATCTAATTGCTGTTCTGATAAAGAGAATGGCCACTTCCCTGGAAGTCGGGGAAATGTAAAGTTGGCAAACTCTCTCTTCAGGTTCTGGTGTAAGATGGCAAACTCCCGGTACCGCTTAGAACACAGCTGCCTCCCTGCCATGTAAACATTGTAGACCTGGTGAGGGGGAAGAACAAAAAAAAGCCTACTTACTACATATTAAATCACAGAATCATCTAGAGTCAGGTTCAGATTAACACTGGTTAGGTCAGAGAAGGCAATGGCAACCCACTCCAGTACTCTTGCCTGGAAAATCCCATGGATGGAGGAGCCTGGTAGGCTGCAGTCCATGGGGTCGGACTTCACTTTCACTTTTCACTTTCATGCATTGGAGAAGGAAATGGCAACCCACTCCAGTGTTCTTGCCTGGAGAATCCCAGGGACAGCAGAGCCTTGTGGGCTGCTGTCTATGGGGTCACACAGAGTCGGACATGACTGAAGTGACTTAGCAGCAGCAGCAGGTATATTTCTCTATATACTTTAACAGAGAATTTATGTTCAAGGTCACCATAAAACAAGATTTACTTTTAATAAACATGCCAGAAATTGTATGTAAAAAAGATAGATACTGCCTTCAAGGGGCCCATGATCTTATTTTTGCTATTACAATTACTTCCAGCACACTGTTTTAAACATCTTTGGAGGCAATTATCAGTTTTTATTTTCAGAAAGTTAAAAATCATTCAAAGCCAATGTGAAAGAACAGGCAAGCAAATTTGGAGAGAGATGTAAAAAGTTAGAATTGATCATAAAGCAAAGTGGCTGACATTTGTGTGTGAACCACATTTCCAAAGAAAAGGTCTAAAAAATGATGTAAGCAATATTGGTATTTTGGCTACAAAAAGATCATTTTTGCCAAAGCTCCTTTTTAAAATCAGATGTCCCCTAGTTTTGGTCTTCTCCTTTCCAACATTAAAACGGAGTTAACAAAAAGCTGAAGAATAAATGTACTCTAAGGACCTCCTCATAATAATAAACAGTTAATAATCCTCATAAAGAAGTAGACAGATTTTTGTCTATTGTTCACAGATGCATGCCAAGCTTCTAGAATAGGGCCTGGCACACGGTAGGCACTCAGTAAATATTTGATGAAGAAATGAATGTATATATGTGCAATTCTTAGATATGTGCCCTCATAAAGGAAAGTGGTGCAGTACATGATCCAAAAACATCAAGTAAGTAACTTCGTAGTCTCAGAACATATCAAATTACACAGAGGTGGGAAAATCAGCCCCAAATCACACTTACTGGCTTAGCAAAAATCACTCAAAAATTTAAATGTGCACTAAACAGGTCATCCACTCATGTAATCAAGAGTTAGTCACTGAACGCAGAATCGACTGGTGGTTGCCAAGAGGGAAGGATTGCGGGGGGGGGGGGGGGGGGGCGGGGGAGCAGGCGGCGGGGTGACCAGATGAAAGCTTTCATACACAGAATGGACGAGCAAGGTCCTACTGTGCAGCAGAGAACTGCATTCAATATCCTATGGTAAACCATAATGGAAAAGAATATAAAAGAGAACATGTACATATATATGTGTGTGTGTATATATATGTATGCATGTATACAAAAAAGAACATATACATATTCTTACAAAAGAATATATATATATAACTGAATCACTTTGTTGTACAGATGCAGTTAACACAATTACTCTAAATCAACTATACTTCAATTTAATAAATAAAGACTTAGTCACTGAGAATGTATACACCAAAGCATTTCCTTCAGTCTCAAGAAGAATCTTTTCCATGCTTCTATGATTTAAAAAGTATAAATTAAATGTAACAAAAATTTAGTCATTGAAAACTCCTCTCTCACAACTCTCCTCCTATGATTCCTCCCCTAAGCAAAGCCTCTAACTACTATCAGTGTCCAGGGATGAATATGACCCTGATCAACGAGTTTTCTTCTTGTAATTATCACACAAATTTGTAACTGATTGTAAAGAATCACATGTGATACCAAGTATTCCCATCACTGCCTTCTAAAGAAAGACTATGACTACATTTCCCTAGTGATGATCACTTGAGTGATCTCAAGTCTAACAAAACATTTCTTAGGGTAGAAAGAACCCTAAAACTTAAGAGGCCTTTGTGACAATTTCAACCCTAAAATTTCAGTTTCTCATAAGGTGAGAACAGTACATCAAATAGCCTCTCACCACCCACCTCTTCCCACTTAAATGTGAAGTCAAAGGGAATAGAACTATAAATAGGATGCCTGACAGTTAAGAAATACATTCATGCAGTTAAGAATGGCTTTCACAAGAGCTAAACCATTTTTAAATTAGTAGTGCTTAGCAAATGAAAAACATACAAAAACATATTACAACAGTGATACTTTGTTCTTTATTTGGACTTAAAACTAACCTATGATCCATTAGTATTCATTTCGCTGATTTGGACACACTCATTAGCAAAGAAAATGACTGATTCCCCACTGAATCAACTCGTGAAGGTCCATGAACCATGAGAAATGACCATGGTCTCATTACAAATGAGAATGGTCCATCAGAAAATATATTTGCCAGACATGAAGGAGATTATCATAAAATAGGGACTAAAGATATAGGCAAGCAGGTAGTACTTCTAGGATCTTTCCATCTTAATGTAAACCCCAGACTAGCTGGCTCATACATGGAATTAGACAGTTTGTCTAGCTTGTGAGAACACGTTGAATTTAATGATCACTGGTCGCTGTCTTCTCCAACTGACCATATCCTACAAAATTTCAAAAGTTGGAATGATCAGATAGCAAAGCCAGCTTCCAAGGGTAACAAGTTATTTCCCTCCTGAGATACTCTTTGCTGAGTTAAACCCAATGAGGGAAAAGGAATGAATTATGAGTGGGGAAAGTGTAAAACTTATGTGATCAGTGATCTGATTTTGTCTCTCTAGATTCTGCAAATAAAAGTTTCAAAATTCAGCTTTGAAATAATTTCTAAATTTCTCTATATGTGAATGTTGAAACTCCATGCCACGCCATTTTGCTCTATCCTCATGACTTAATTCTGTGGTATAAATGCCAGAAGGTGGTAACTGATAAATTCTCACAGAAGCACAAACCACTGTAGGGAAAGCAATTCTAGTAATATCTGGGCTCTATATTCAATATGAAAAAACAAAATTCCGGATAACAGAGATCTTTATTTTGTTGGTTCCTTAATCCCCACTTACAGATTTCTTAAGGCTTTTAAATGGTAACATCTCATTCTGTTTAAGATCTGAATATTAAAATGTTCTCACTTTCTCAAGCCTCTAGTAACCCACAGGAATTATGCTACTGAACACACAGAAGAGAATCTCCTTAAACAGTGCAAAAGTGATCAGACACAATATTGTGAAACAGTTATCCTCCAATAAAAAGAAAAAAAGAATGACAACACCACGCAAGTTCTGCCTCCAAATGTCAAACAGACATTCATCTGGTTCATGCTATTGATCTGGATAAATCCTCAATGTACATTAGGACCAACAAATTGTTTCCAATGCCACCTTGCCATTTAATCTTGCTTTTAGCTGAAAATATGTCTTCCAAAGGACACCTTATTGGCTATTCACAAGCTGATTATAATAGCAAAAGAAGATTCAGCATTCTTATCTGATTTCTGAGTGAAATGCATGAGATCCTTAATTAAGGGATTCTTTCCCAATGCTGAAGTATTTAGGTTTCTTCTTGGAAAGAAAAAAATCAAAAGACAACAAGATGCTCCTAAAGAACTTAGGCTATGTGTGTGTGTTTTCCCTAATGTAGATCATAAATGGCATCTATTTTCTTTATTTGGACCTCAGGTGTATAGAACTGGGTTAACAGCAATCCTTGGTTCATAAGTCTCATTTTGATGAACTCTGTCTGGATATTTAATTTAGATATTTTTATCTTTTAAAATTTATTTTAATTAATTGATTTTTTTTTTTTTTTTTTTTGGCCACTCCACATGGCATGTGGGATCTCAGTTCACCAAACAGGGATTGAACTCACACCCCCTGCAGTGGAAGCACAGAGTGTCTTAATCATTGGATCACCAGGGAAATCCCAATTTAGTTATGTTTAACATTGTAAAAAATAAACTAAAAGCTAAGACCTTGACAAAAACATTTCTAACCACATAGTCTCTGCCTCCTTCACCCCATCTCCCTGTTTCTCTCTCAAAATTATTAGGCTCAACCATGTTTCATTATTCCCTTGTTTTTCTTTTCATAGTTTATTCCTACGTTAACATGTAATCTTTATGTTTTTATTGTTCACGTTAATGTTTTGGCTGCCCTGGGCCGGTGCTGCTGTGTGCGGCCTTTCCCTAGCTGCGGGGAGGCGGCCTACCCTCCAGCCCGTGGTGTACAGCTTTCCCTGCAGCAGCCCCGCCTGGTGCACAGCACGGGCTCTAGAGCACACGGGCTTCAGCAGTTCCGATAGGTGGGCTCAGTATGGGTTTAGTGGCCTCAGGGCACATGGAATCTTCCCAGACCAGGGATCAAACCTGTGTCCTCTGCATTGGCAGGTGGATTCTTAACCACTGGACCATCAAGGAAGTCCTTATTTTAATTTTTGGAGGATATTTCAGTTTTATAAAAAGTCTATCATGCAGAATGAGTCTTTGTGGCACTTATTTTTTCACAGTCTCATCCACAATGCTATCTATCTTTGTGGTTTATTCTACTGTACATAACACTTTGTTGTTTTGCATTTTTAAAAAAATCTTTTCTGTTGACATACATTCAGGTTGTTTCTGGGATGTAATATTTCTTGGTTTTAAGTATTATGAACAATGCTACTGTGAACATTTGCACATACGCCACCTGTAGTAACATTAATATAAGAGATTCTCCTGGATATACTTCATGTGAGGAACTTCAGAATTATAAGGTATGTGAATATTCAACCTAAGGAGACAATGCCAACTTATAAGCTAAAGCAGTTACATAAATTTATACTCCTTACACTCCTTTTCAGTAATAATATAAAAAGATCCTCTTAATTTTTGCAAATGGAATGGGTATGAAAAGATTTCTTGCTCTAGTCCTAATTTACAGTTCCATGATTATTAATGATGTTGATCATTGTCTCTCCATACACATTTATTGGCCAGCTGCCCAGGGATTAAGGCTCACCCACCA